CACGCAGCAGGCAGGCTCCCCCGTTGACTCCGTGTATTCCTCTCGCGGAGCAGGAGTACCGGTGTTGACGGCGAGCACTTCCGGGATCGATTTATCGCGTCTAGACAAGACGCGATAAATCGATCCCAGAAGATCGATTGCTTACCGCCGAACCCGGAGGTAAGTATAGACGTACCCTTAGTATTAACAGTAGAGAGAACACCAATCTGATAAAGAGAAAGTGTGCAAAGGGAATGATCTGACTGGAACTCTCATTACTGGGGAAACGCGCAAACAGAGCCAGTGCTGCTCTTAAGGGCAGATGCCAGTTGTGTGTGTAATAGTGGAGTTGACCGCTCATTTGCCCCTGTTTAATAAAAATTGTCCAGGCCCAATGTAGCACACTTGACTGAGTGTACACGGTGGAGTAATTACACTGATGAGACTAAATGTAAGTCAGAGCTGGGAAGTAATGACTCCAGAACAGTTAATTATGCTGTAAGCAAACACATTAAAAGCCTGCCAAGAATGTGAGGGTGAACATAGGGTTATTCAGCGGGACAGTGAAATTCTAAATGGAAAGCTGAGGGGATGCGCAGCTTTCCAGCAATGTAACAGAAAGGATTTTTAACAGCAGTAATGGCTGTTGGGAATGAGTGTGAGTGTGTGCATCATTAGCATCTCCATAAAATGTATTTATTTCACATTCGCACACAATCCTTCGCCCATTTCCGCCAGCCGTTGCTGCTGTTAAGCAGGACATAAAGCAGGACCCTGACATTGATGGAAAGTGGTGCAGCCCCTCTGTTTTCCATTTGAAATTTCACTGTTACATGACATTGCTTCCAAGTTATTATGGGTATGTATTGTTTGTATTCCAGTAGTGACCAGAGGCCTCAGTCAGCAGCGCGGCCCCACTGGGCTACGTGCTGTACAAGCATGAATTGAAAAATAGTCCGTGCCTCACCGAATTTCCAGCCTATGGCCTTGGTCCTGCAGTCAGTCCCATGTGGGTGGACACTGTACAGACAGATGGCATCCCATTGACTTAAGTTAGGCTCCAGGCCTGCAATCCATCTGCCCATGTGGATCGAGTTAAGTACTGGGGCATATATTCAAACAAAACTCAGTCAAATGGGAGAAGACAGTAGAATGGGATGTCAAACAAGTCGAACAAGACAGTCGAATGGGATGAAAGAGGGTGAGGATGACAGTGATAGGAATATGTAGTAACATGTTAGGATAAGTAAAACAATAGGAACATGATGTAACATACAGGGAGGAAGGATGTGTCTAGTGCTTAGGGTAATAAGCTGGGACTTGGAAGATATGCATTTAATTTCCTGCTCTGGCACAGACTTCCTGTGTGATCTTGGACAAGTCATCTAGTCTCTCTGTGCCTTTAGTTCCCCGTCTGTAAATTTGGGCTAATACCTCCCAGAGATGTTGGGAGGATAAACACTCTTGTCCATGCCCAGATCATCTTTTGCCTTGATTGCTGTAATCTCCTCTTCTCTGGCATCAATGTCTGTAACCTTGCCTCCCTCAAGTCTGTTCAAAATGCAGCTGCAAACATCTTCCTGGCTCACCCCTTGGTCACTGCTAGAGCTGGTTGGAAAATTTTGTTGTTATTTTTTCCTCTGTGGAAAATTTTGACCTTTCCACACCCAAAAATAATAATAATAAAAAAAATCTTTGTCTGAAAACTTTTAAAACACAAAACTTCAGTTCTGAAAGCCTGCCACAGAGCCTCCATTGAAGTTGTAGTTGAGACACCCTGTGCTCCTGTTCTCACTACAACTCCCATGATGCATCACAGTGGTGCCTCTTGCTGAGCCATGCAGAGAAGTAATCTGGCTGGGGAACTCAGAGGAGGGCATAAGCCGCCCAAACTATAACTCCCATGTAACTTTGGGAAAGTCACCTCCCTCTCTCTGTGCCTCTGTTTACCTTGTCTTTTCTATGTACACTGAAAGTTCTCCAGGGCAGGATCTAAGGGCAGGTCTACACAGCAAAAGCTGTATGTGGGCGAGCCTACCCCAGTTAACTTGAATCCAGCTAGCATGGGTAACAGTATCAGTGAAACATGGGCTTCAGAGTGGCCCAGCAAGGCTAGGACCTACCCAATGTTCATGCTGGGTTTGTACTACTCACACTGCACTGGATGCAGTGCTAGTGTTACTCCCGTTAGCGTGATTTAAGCTGGCTCAGGTAGGCTAGCGCATGCTCAGTTTTTGCTGTGTAGACATACCGTATGTGGTATTAGAGTGCATAGTACAATGGGACCCTGATCTTGGTTGTTGCTTCTAGATGTTAATGTAATGCCAATAATTAATAAAAAGTTCCTTTCTTCATTTGTTTAATCTGGAATATCTGCCTGTGGGATCTTCCTTTTGTGAGGTCTGAGCACATATTGGCAGACTCTGAGATTGCTGAGCCATATGTCTTAGCAGTGGAGGATTAATTACTTTAGCAAACACATGCGTAAATGCTGAATGCATAGACAGTGATGTCTGGCTGCACTTTCCTCAGGTGCCCTCTACTGAGGCCATCATAACCCAAACAGGATTAATTCACACAGAATTTTGATTATGTTCCACTCTGGAATTTTCTCCCAGCCAGTGTGTTTTTCTCCCAAGAAAATGGTATTTCTCATCTGAAAACACCATCCTTGAAGAGAACCGGTACAGATTATTTCTATTAGTCAGGCTCTTGGATCATCTCTTTTTCCTCAAGTAGAAAATCCATCAACTGGATTATTTTCCTCCACTGTTTAATTCAATATATTATTGGAAAATGTTTAGGCAGATTTATGAAAATGTATCTTTTGCCTGAAAGTTTAATAGCATATAACAGATATTCTCCACAGGATGTTATAAATAGATACCCGATAGTATCTATGCTTTCGTGAACAACATTGATTTAAACCACTTACGGTAGTCAACAATTCTAAATCTTTTTTCAATCTACCTACAACCACCTCAGATATCCATAAAAGCAGGTGCTAGCAAAACATACCCACGTTTAAAAGTTAAGGTGCATTTTTAATATATATTGGGTAGTATCCCTTCAAATAGCTATAAACCCTCTAGTGACACTTTCTGTCAGTTTAGTAGCCTCCCAGAGCAGTAGTGGATATGTAGCTAGGCCTTGCATGGTGCGTTTATTTAGCAAACATGGTTATTTAAACCCCACTATAGTCCTGTGGTTGTTGTAAGACTCACATTTTGTGTGTTGTGTAAGACAGATGTGAAAGACAAAATAGTGGGCCAGAAACCACACCATCCAGGGATCCAGGGGAATAAACCTATTACGGGACACAACGTACACCCTAAACATGTGTCTGAGTAAAGTCAGTTTCACTATTTCCCCTGTATAGTCAATAAATCAGTTTCTCTCTTGCTGAAAACATCTTGACATCAAAAAGGCCGCATCTTATACATAGGGTGACCACCTTTCCAAAAGGCAAAAGCGGGACACATGCAGGAGCCCCGCTCCCTCTGTGTCCCTGCCCCTACTCCTCCTCTTCCCCCAAGGCCCTACCCCATGGCCAGGCCGGAAGCCAGAGCCGGGCATTGGTAAGTGTTGCCCATAGAGCCCGTCACACTGTGGGGAGCACAGGACCCTCCACCTGTCCTGAGAGCGGGGGACTGTCATACCTGAGAACAGCCCCCCAGCCTGTGTCCCCTCCCCACTGGGTGCACTGCCCAGGACAGGTGGAGGATCTGGGGCTCCCCACAGTAACCTGGGCTCCCTGGGTGGCTCTTACTACTCCCCAGCTCCAGCTTCTGGTCTGGGCATGGGGCAGGCCTCAGAAGGGAGAGGAGCAGCAGGGGGCAGGGTCTCATGGCGAGAGAGAGATAAGGCCCACCTCAGTGCCCCCCACCAGGAAGAGGCTGGCACCACCCCTTAGCCTCGAGCAGACACATAGTGGCACCACAGGGAATCCAGGACAAATGCTGTTCTGGAGTCATTCACTCCGGGACCAGGACTTGAACTCTATATTTCGGGACTGTCCCACCCAATTTGGGACGGACGGTCACCCTACTTGTACATCCTGTGTTTGTATCCATTTTCTCTTTTAATTCCAAAAGGGATAACCCGGTACTGGACTCCAAACAATCCTGTTTGCTTCGAAGTCATAACAATAGTTTAAGTTACTGGGGAAGGAGGGATTTGTTATTGTTTTCTTACACAGGTGTACAAGCAAAAAGATTCCATCTAAGTGCAGACACTTTCGCTCCACCTGCATGCCAACTGCCCCATGCCCAGAAGCAGGGCCGGCTCCAGGCACCAGCCGACCAAGCACGTGCTTGGGGTGGCACCTTGGGGCGGGGCGGCACTCAGGTCTTTATTTATTTATTTATTGGTTCGTCGGGGCAGCACTGGAGGGTTTTTTTTTGTTTCCGCAGCGCGGTGCTCGGGGGGGGGGGCTTCGGGTGGCACGGTGCTTGGAGGGGGATGGGGCTTTGGGCAGCGCGGCGCTCGGGAGGACGGGGGCTTGGCGTAGTGCTGGGGGGGCTTTGGGTGGCATGGCACTCTGGGGGCATGGCTTTGGGTGGCATGGCGCTCTGGGGGGGGCTTCGGGGCGG